GAAGATGAAGAGCCCTCAGTTAGCCAGTTGGAGGCTTGCACGTAGGGGCAGTGACTGCTCAGGGTACATAGCTCAGTCCCCAGGAGAACCCTTGCAGATAAGCACAGCAAAACCCTGGCATCATTACAGCTGGGAGGATTTCTATATTGCAACCAAGCACAAAAACAGGCTGGGTGGAGAATGGATTCAGAGCAGCCCTGGCGAGAAGGACTTGGGGGTGTTGGTTGATGAGAAGCTCAACATGAGCCAGCAATGTGCACTTGCAGCCCAGAAAGCCAACTGCGTCCTGGGCTACATCCAAAGAAGCATCGCCAGAAGGTCAAGGGAGGTGATTCTGCCCCTCTACTCTGCTCTTGTGAGACCCCACCTGGAGTATTGCCTTCAGCTCTGAGGCCCTCAACATAAGAAGGACATGGAGATGTTGCAGTGGGTCCAGAGGAGGGCCACGAAGATGATCCGAGGGCTGGAGCACCTCTCCTATGAAGACAGGCTGAGAGAGTTGGGGTTGTTCAGTCTGGAGAAGAGAAGGCTCTGCATAGACCTTGTAGAAGCCTTCCAGTACCTAAAGGGGGCCTACAAGAAAGCTGGAGAGGGACTTTTTACAAGGGCATGTAGTGCTAGGACAAGAGGCAATGGCTTTAAACTGAAAGAGGGTAGATTTAGATTAGATATAAGGAAGAAAGCTTTTACAATGAGGGTGATGAGGCACTGGAACAGGTTGCCCAGGGAAGTTATGGATCCCCCATCCCTGGAAGTGTTCAAGGCCAGGTTGGATGAAGTTTTGAGCAACCTGGTGTAGTGGAAAGTGTCCCTGGCCGTGGCGTGAGGGTTGGAACTAGATGATCTTTAAGATCCCTTCCAACCCAAACAATTCTATGATTCTGAGTCTCTGGAGCTAAGATTTCATCCTCAACCATCTGTATCTACTAACTTTCAAATGCTGTAGTTTAGGACCAGTGCTCGTTGAATTATTAGCCACTGCGTGTACATTATCACCTCCCTAGAATTTTAGCTTGTGGGCATAGATGGTATGCTGGCTTGGGGTGTGTGTGGGGGTGTTATTCTTTATATTTTTCTAAAATATAATAATGCTCAAATTAAAGGACATTTTTATTCTCAGTCTGACATTATCAACATAAGGCAATGAAAAAAGTGAATGTCAGTGTTCCATCTGTGACTGTATCAGCAATATACATAACTTAATTTACTGAAGTTTGCCTCAGTAATGAGCTTTCCCTGCATGTGGCTTGTAGACATTGGGATTACGAACTAGAAGTGGTGTGCTACTATCTGGGAAGCTACAAACTTCCAGTGTTCCTATGAACAAGGTAACAGCATAAGCCAAGATGCAAAAGCAGAGTGAGAATTTTGTTCTTACAGAAGAAAAAAAGGCTGAATACTTAATTTCATTAGAAATTATGCTTTAAATCTGGCACATATTCTGGTATTTACAATATTCTGCTTAAGTACACAGCTGCGTGCATGCACAGGTACGGAAGTTGCCTCTCATGATAAAATGTTGTCATATTCACAAGTAAGCTAGATATTCATGGGATGAAAATTCCGCAGGACCTAGAAGCCTAATAACAGCTTGACTTTAGGGGCTGAGGGGAAGTGGGGAGGGATCGGGAAAGGTTGTCATCCTCCACGGACCCCTTCTCGTCATGGAGCAGTAAGGGGGCAAAATTTTGTTTCTCCAGCTTGTGTTACTTCAGGAAGGCAGAATATTCTCACCATGCTACTAAACATCTTAATTTTCAGCTATACCCAGCCTGTCTCCCGGAGCACACATTGCAGTATCCCTGGAGTGCCTTCTCACCACCCGGAGAGGCTGAGAGCAACACAAGTCCTCGCTTCTGCCTCCGAGCACCTGCTCCTTGCCAACAGCTCTGGGTCTATGTCCAGGGGAAGAAGACAAACTCACCGACTGTTTTCAAGGGTTCAGAACTGCACTTGACTACGTACCTTCTCACCCCAGTTGGTGCATGTAAATAAATATTAATACACACTTAATGACTATTAATACAAACACAGATGTATGTAGACATGAAAACTAGCAAGAACTCTGCCTGCAAAGGGGCTTCCTCAGCACTGGGCTGATACTTTAATTCCCTCATAAAGAGTCTTTAGAATTCAAATGCTCTTCTTTTGTGACTTTCCCCAGAGGCTTTAGTACTCTTGAAGATGATTTGATTTAGCAGACTCACAGGGCTTGTGCAATGCCAACGTGTTCACTACCCGTTTTCTTTCCAAGGGTTCATCACTTGTTCATTGAATCCCTGATCTATATCAGTGTTCTCTGAAGAGAGGATGTCAAGGTCACAAGGAAACAGAATAGCCTCTCAAGAAATGGCTTCTAAGCAACCTGATAAAGTGATGTTCCTTTCAGGAGACAACCAATCTCTTCCAAAAGAAATACTTTCTCCCTCTTCCCATTTTTTTTTCAATGTGATGTAAGACCATTCATAAGTAAGTGGCAAGTATTTAGCATGCCCTGGTTGGTATGATATCTGTTCACCCCTCTCACAAGCTAAAGCTGCAAATACCCGGTACAGAATCATAAATTGCCTTTTTTGTTGTTGTTTTTCATGCCTGGGCTAGCTTCTTTAAATTGATAGTTTCTGTCTTTTCCCCTTTATCCTATCTCCAGAAGGCTCTAGGCTTCACTCAGTATATCAGTAGCTGTTTAAGATGTGTGCAGTCGGCTGTGGATGTACAGAAAAGAGGGCAGAGATCTGTAAAGTCCTATGGAGAGAGATGGGTTTACAGCTCCTTGGGACACAGCTTATTTCAACTGAATGTTATTACAGTGGCACTTGAAAGCCCCGAGTAGGATAGATGGGCCACCCTGAGAGACCCTGTAGCTGTGTGCAGCAGAAATAGGTGCTTGTCCCCAAGACCTTGTGCTCTAAATGGAGAAAAGAGTGGGAGCAAAGTAAAAGGAGAGAGAAATAGAAATATTTCCACTCTGTGGTAAAGGGATTGGTGCTTCTGGTTGCTGACAATACAACAGAAAGTCTGTGAAAGCCTCAGGAATGAAGTGTAAGGGCCACTGTCCCCCTGTTTTCCCAGACAGTGGTGATGGTGGCAGAGTCCCGTCAGGACTCTGCTCTTCCACAGCTCCCCACCCCACGTGGAAAGCTGAGAGAGAAAGCAAAGGGCTCTTATCGCTCTGGGCTTTGACATCATACTTTTGCTCTTGAGTTCTCGAGTCACTTCTCCCTTTTTAATCCCACACTGCAAATGTAAGACTGAATCTTTCTTCCCTCCTTGTGATTTTGCCCTCCTACTTCAGATAAGACCCCACGCAATCATTCCGTGCAGCGTATCTGCTACTATAGGGTTGCTGTCCATCTGGATAATTTCCCGTGAGATACAGGATTCATATCCTCTGTTTTACTACAGGATATCACAGGGTAAGATTATGCGTATTGTAATTTCACACCTTGCCTTAGCTCTTGGGGTCAGGTGTGTTTGTAAACATCCTTGATCGTCAGTTTATAGCAAGGAATCGCAAGGGAAAAAAAAACTCATGTTCCATATCCTTATTTTCTAATAACCATGAACATTCCTGACTCTTTCAGCATTGCAGCTTTGCAAACTTTCCTCACGAGCCAGACTTGCATTTCAGATCATAGATTTCCCCAGATATGCAAAGAATCTTTCCCCAGATCAAATCTTATCCTGTAGCATAGAGACAAAACTGCCTCTCCAAAGATACAAAAGCCAATCTATAAAAAACCATGAGAATAGAAACCAGACCTCCTGGCTGCCAGCCCCGGGCTACATTGATATCTAGCTGCATTGGGGCAGTGGAAATCGCAGATCTTTCTTGGGAAATTATGGGAAAGGGAAAGGAGTTGGAGGAAATGAACTGCCCGATGTCTACAAGCTTCGGCTCATCTATTCCCCAGCACCTGCTCAGAGATTAGCCACTGGGGATGGAAACCTTAATGGTGCAGCATAAAAGCTATTTGCTATCTGCAAACACTACCAGAGAGATTTTTGCTCTAGCTTCTGGGGTTTTATTGTTTTCAAGCTCTGCCAGTTGGAAAATCATTTCTGTAGCTTGCATTCTTCTTCCTTCACTGTCCCATAAATATGAAAAAAAAAAATCTACACTCCTCTATAATGGTACAGTTTTTCACTCTGCTCTAAAGGGTCACATTTCTAGGCATAGATGCATCACACATACATAACACAGTACTGCAAAATATGCAGGCAGCTCCTTGTTTGCTTGCATACCAAGCTGGTTTTTAGGTACAAACAGACTCTGTGCCAAGAATCAAGGCAGTCCCATCTGAAAATCATTTAGAAAATTGCAATGGTAGATGTCTGCTAGTGAAACCCAAATGATACCCTTGAGAATGACATCAGAAACGAGCTTTTTTTTTTTCTCTTCTTGTTTTTAGACGGTTAGATATAATAAGTTATTGTGAAATCCAGGTGACTGATTCTAAGCTTACACCAAATATTATGTTGCTGATTGCAGGATAAAAGCTATATTGTGAGAAGGCAGGG